TGGCAAATGCTGAACCCAACACGAACGGTTCCCAGTTTTTTATCTGCGCTGCCAAGATGGAGTGGTCGGATGGCAAGCATGTGGTATTTGGCAAGGTGAAAGAAGACATGAATACTGTGGAGGTCATGCAGCGCTTTGGGTCCAGGAATGGCAAGACCAGCAATAAGATCACCATTGCTGATTGTGGACAACTCTAGTAAGTTTGACTTGTGTTTTATCTTAACCACCAGACCGTTCCTTCTGTAGCTCAGGAGAGTGTCCTCCACCCCATTTGTTCGTAGTATCCTAGAATCTGTGCTGTCACTGCAGTTCCCTTTGGGTTCCATGTTTTGCTTGTTCCCTTCCATGCCTAGCTTGATTGCAGAGTTAAGTTTATGATTATGAAATAAAGACTAACAAAAATAAAAATGAAAATAAATAAATGGGTAAAAGCAGGCAATTTATTTAAACTCTTGTGCCCCTATTTCCTTAGCTCATGAAAATTGGGATAATAATAAATTGGGATTTATACAGCAGAGGGTATAAATCAGACCACACAGGCAAACCATCAGGCACAGTGCCTGGCACAGAGTAGATACCCAATGCATGTTAATTTCAGCTTCCAAGAGCTGTCTTTTCTTCCCCATCTCAGTTCTGGCCAACATGTCACCAGACCTTCTCAGAAATCCTCTCCCCACCGTTCTTACTAACCCATGCCCCAGCTCCTGCCTCTCCTGGGGGTAGCAGATTTGGTTAGGTAGCCTGGTTTTAATCCCAGTTATGCCAGTAATGAGTTAATGCGGACTCAGGCAGGTCACTAAGTCCCTTGACCTCTCTGCGCTTCCTCATCTAAATTCATTCATAGGACCAAATTCATTCATTCATTCAACAAATTTAACATGTATTCAGAGTGTCTACTATAAGCCATGCCCTGAGACTATAGCCTTAACTAAGATGGATATCTCCCTGCCCCATGGAATAGGGAAGAAAAAAGAAGAAAAGAGTGCGATTTCAGAGAAGGAGAAACACTCTGCTGAAAATAGATAATGTACCGTAATGGAGAATGCCTTTATGGGGCCTCTTTGCTGAGGGGATACTTCAGCTAGAGGGAGAGCAAGAATATGGGCACTGAAATGGCAACCAAGCTAAGCTCTTAGCAGTTCTTGATTCAAGTCTCTCCCTATCTAGAATACATTCAGTGATTTCTTGCCTACAATATTAGGTTAAAACTGGTTTGATGTGTTGGAGGCCTTCTGCAATCTGGCCCACATTTACTTTCCTAACCCTGTATAAAAGGATCCCAGCTCAGGTGTAAGTAGAATTAGATATGTCTAGGCATGTCTGGCAACAGGGAAGCACACCCTGTCAGGAGTCTGTTTGCATGAGAAATGAGAACCTCTAAGAAGAAAGCTCATCTTGATTAAAGGAGGGGCCTGCTCTGTGAGCTTGGCAGAGTAATAGATCTTTATCCCTCCAAGGCTTCAGAGAGAGAGGCAGTTCTGTCACTCAAATACCTGGCCCAGATCCACACCTATCCAAGTTCCTGTAGATGGGGCAGGGAGCCCTTGAACCCAGGCAGTCCTGCTTGGGACTTCTGTGTAGGAGTAACCCAGAGAGGAGACAGGCTTCTCCCTGACTTTGCCATAGTCCCTGAGCAACTTGCATTCCTTGAGGGCCGCAAAGCAGAAGTGCCTTCCTAGAGGCGCAGGGAATGGTCAGGACTTAAGGTGGCTCCAAATGAGTACTGAGGGCTAGAGTCAAGGAAACCAGAGCTGCTCTCTGTGTGTCATGCAATATGGTCCCCAGAGTGGTCGGGATCTCAGTAGGAAGCACGGTACCCGTAAAAGTGATGACTAAGAAAGTTTAAAAAATGGATTTTTTATGGGGATTTGAGTGGGGTTAAGGAAAAACGGTAAGAGACTGGTGCAGTACTTGAAGGCTAGGTATCAGCAAGAAGCTATTACCACCAGTAGGCCTGAAAGGGAAAAGGCAGAAGTGGTTACTGCAGCCAACCACTGGGCAGGAGCTAGAGCCATAGGCCACAAGACAGAAGCCGTGGGCCTGGGTAAAGACCACAGCCACCAGCAAGCTGTGGCCCAGCATGGAGGGAGCCACCTTCCTGTGGCTTGCAAATGCCCAGCACTGGGCAAACCCAACCAGAAGCCAAATGGCAAGGCCATGGGAGGCTAAACCGTCCCTTGAGGTCAGCCTCCTGGACACAGGGCAGGATGGAAAAGAATGAAGAATACACAGAGAATATTCAGCACACTCCATCTCTTGATACCCACAGGCTGGGGAAACCTAAGGCAACTGAATTATACTAATTTCCCCTTCTCTTCCCCTCATAAATAATACTAATTTCCCCTTTTCTTCCCCTCATAAACACTCTCTCTTAGGAACAGAAATGAATACTCCTGTGCTCCCATTCAGAACACAGGACTTAGAGTCAAGACTTGGGTTCAAATCCCAGCTCTGTCATTGTACCAATTTCCTAGGTTACTGTCACAAATTACCACAAACTGAGTGGCTTAAAATAACAGAAAATTTTTCTCACCCAGTTCTGGAGGCTAGAGGCCCCAAAATCAAAACATATTAAAGATATGTGAGCAACTGGTGCATAAATAAACTGTTCAATGCAACAGACTAAAAGGCTAGAAAATAAGACCAACTATATACTGAAATATAGTATATGCTCAAGATTGTTTTTGTTTTTGTTTTTTTGCCAGGAGGCCTTCTCCTCTAATCAAGATAGTTTTTTAAACAGTGGAGATAAAATGCATTTTCCTTTTTCTTTTTTTGTTTCAGACACAGTTTTTCTCTTGTTGCCCAGGGTGGAGTGCAGTGGCGTGCGATCTCAGCTTACCTCAACCTCCACCTCCTGGGTTCAAGCAATTCTCCTGCCTCAACCTCCTGAGTAGCTGGGATTACAGACATGTGCCACTACATCCGGGTAATTTTGTATTTTTAGTAGAAATGGGGTTTCTCCATGTTAGTCAGGCTGGTCTCAAACTCCTGACCTCAGGTGATCTGCCTGCCTCAGCCTCCCAAAGTACTGGGATTATAGGGGTGAGCCACCATGCCCAGCCAAAATGTATTTTTCAGTAAATGATCTTGGGACATAAAGTAGCCTTCTGAGGTAAAATAAAATAAAATATTCATACCTAATATCACACAGAAAAACAAATTTCTGAAAGATCAAACACCTAATAAAAATGAAATCATAAAAGTACTACAACAAACCATGGAAGAACTTTTATATTATTACATTTGGGAGAGGCAGGCCTTTCTAAGAATGATACCCATACTAGAAGTCATTTTAAAACTGTTTAATACTTTTAGTTACATAAATATAGAATAATTTCCCATAGAAACATAAACATCATAAAAAGAGTCAACAGACACATGAAAAGCTAGGAGAATATATTTGCCATATTTGCCAATTATATCACAGATCAAGGGCTAATTTCCTTAGTATTTAAACAACTCTTACAAATAAAGAAGAAAAAGATTATCCATAGATAAATGGACAGAGGATAAAAGCAGTCCACAAAAAGGGAACTGTATATGGTTCTTAAAATATGAAACCATGCACCACTTCACTCTTAATAAGAGACATGCAGATAAAAACTACAGCAAGGTACCATTTTTTTAACTTACAGAGGTTAAAAAAAAATGCTGCAAGAATCAGCAACGTTTGCTAACACACAGCCTTGCCCACTCTCACACCCGGCTGGCATGTTCTTACAGCCTCCAAGGATAGTAAGTAACAATATCTGTCAAAATTTTAACTAGACATACTCTGTGACCCAGAAATCACACTTTTTGAGAATCTATTTTACAGATATATTCTCACAGCTGCTAAATGTCCATCTGAGCAAGGATATTCTTTGCGGCATTATTCTTTATGGCAGATTGGAAATGATCTAAATGTGGATGTTCAAACAACGGAATACTATCATTCAAAAGAAGTGGGGGTAGAATTAGGCACCTCTGTTTGTCCTAATATGGGACTATCTCCACGACATGTAAAGGTAAACTTGAAGCCAAGTGCAAGGAAGGAGAGCTGGTGGGAATGCCCCATTCGTGCAGCAGCACCCATACCCTCAGGCACAGTACCTGCTAAGGAAGCTAAAGCTTCAGGTCAGAGGCCCCTGCCAAGGCCCTGGGAGGCCTTGTGTTCACATGGTGTGTTCACATGGTCCTGTGTTTTTATAGAATTTGCAAAAGATATTTTAACCATGGTTGTTCAAGACTATTGTCTTTCTCTTACAACTTCCACTCCGTCACCACACATCACCTTTTGTCAAGTGACATTGGAGCAGCCACAGGCTTTTTTGGGACCTAGCTGTGGAGAAGGTAGGTTAGGGACACATTCACTGTGGGTTCAGTGGGATGTTCATGTGATTTGCAGTAACTTCCATATGCATACTTATTGTTTGTCGTTCTGTGCCTTTTGGCACAGAGGCTTTTTAGCCTCTCAGATATATTCCCATTGTCCACTGTGCCACCTCACCTGGGATGGCCACACACAGGTAGAGGTCACAGAAACTGTATATCGGGCAGTTTATTAATTTTTTTAAAAATACCACATTATTTTTCTGGATTTTAGGGTATTTTTGGTACTTATCAGTTTTTTTTTTCTCCTTTCCCTACTTTATTTTTGTTCTCACATTTGTCATTGACTAATCCATTATATTTTACTGATTAATACTGCTTGCATTCTGTCCAATTAGAATACAAAAGAGGAATTTTTGCTGTTCCCTCTTCCATTCCTGCCCAGAGCCTAAAATAATGCTTGGCCCATGACAGGCACTCTATAAATTGTGTTAAATGAATGAAAACAAAAGATACTGGCGGTCATCTACCTTATGCAAGCGTAAAACTGGCCCACACTCCCATATCATCCCCAATAGATAACCAAAAAGAGGAAATAAGTGGCAAAGGTAAGTCTGAGACTGGCTCCTATCCTAGTCTTAAAGTCTTTCATGTCAGTCATTATAAAGTCATTTGTGTTATCTCAATTAGTACAGGGAAAAGCCAGGAAATTTTCCAACGTCAATGTCCATGCACATCACTCCCAACTCTAATTCCTGCAGCAGCCTGCCCATGTAGTCTTCCCCACTCACAGTGGCTGTGAGATTAATGCCTCCCTTGTCCTTCTTCTTAAAGCCAATGTTGGGGGGTTTGCTGTTCAAGCGAATGCCAAAGCCTTCCAGTTCATTTTCAATTATCTTCTTATGTCCCAAGGGTTGCAGGACATCCAAAACAATCAGGATCAAGTTACAGTTTCAGGCCACTGGAATGACTTGACGACCTCTACCTTTCCCATCCTTGGCACCTTCAATGATACCTGGGAGATCCAGGAGCTGGATCTTGGCACCTTTGTATCTGATGACACCAGGCACGGTGGTCAGAGTAGTGAATTCATAGGCTGCTACCTCAGAATACACCCCTGCCAGGTTACTAAGCAGTGTTGACTTCCCCACAGATGGAAAACCAACAAATCCAATTCGAGCATCACCTGTCTTGGCCACATCAAAACCTTCTCCTGGACCTCCACCACCACCACCCTTTTGAGTAATGAGTTCTTGAGGAAGCTTAGCAAGACGAGCCTTAAGCAGCCCTAGGTGGTGTGCTGTGGCCTTGTTCTTTTGAGTCCGAGCCATCTCAGCTTCTATCTCCGCAATTTTAGCTAAGGTGCTGCTCATCCTGGTGAGTCCCTTGTGGCCTCCACACTGATTGTTTCTCTTCACACACCCACGGGCAAACTGCAACCCTTATCAGTTTTTTTAAATGTGTAACTTGGTTTGACTTTTCTATTATTTATACCAAAAAATAAAAGCAAAATGCAGAATACCATGTTAACTTTTGCCTTTAATTAAAACAAAAAAAAGGCCAGACACAGTGACTCACACCTATAATCCAGCACTTTGGGAGGCCAAGGTGATACCTGGGCAACATAGTGAGACCTTGTCTGTATAGAAAAAACAAAGAGGGAGAGAAAGAAAGAAGAGGAGAAGGAGGACAGCAACTACTACTGCTGTTGTCAGGCGTAGCCTTCCGATAGTTTTAGATCCCAGGAGTCCAGGTTAGAGGACAGGCAACCTGATACCACCCTGTCTGCCCCCAAAAAGGGAAACTTTTATGAGTAGAAAACTCATGTTCAGTATTTTATAGTGGTATTTTGTCTCCTTGACAGAGTTCTTAAAGTCAGAGTTTCTCATACATGCCTTAGTGGTTGGCTCCTCATCTCTCTTCAATTATTACAAGTGAACAGATTGTCTCTAGTGTCACTATTAACAAACAATCCTATCATGAACATTCATGTACCTACAGTGTTTCACGCTGGTGCAGGTGTTTCTGTAGGACAGATTCCTAGAAGCAGAATGATTGCACTGAAGGCTATGCACGCTTGGATTGTTCTCCAGCATTATGGTGCACCCGTACCATGGTAAATTATGATAAATACCCGTACCATGGTAAATTACGTGGCCAATAGAAATAATGAAGTAGAGGGCAGAGCGATTCCTAAAGGAGAGGGGCAGTAAGGAACACAAGGGCACAGGCTGCAAAACAAGATATATGGCATGCCTTTAAGATGAGAGTGAGTACGGAGTACAAGAGGAGGCTTCCACTTCCTGCTTCAGAGTCCTTTACATTCTTTTCAGAATTTTAAAAATAAGCAGATACTATATAATTTTTTAATTTTAACAGAAAGAAGGTACACCTGTTAGCCGGGCGCGGTGGCTCAAGCCTGTAATCCCAGCACTTTGGGAGGCCGAGGCGGGTGGATCACAAGGTCAAGAGATCGAGACCATCCTGGTCAACATGGTGAAACCCCGTCTCTACT